CAGTTGGAGGAAGTGGCCTGTCGGGGGGCCTGTCGCAACCGGCAGGCTGGCAGTCGCTGCTTTCCTTCACGATCCTTTTCCTGGCCTGGCTGGCTGGTTTCAGTTCCAGGCTCTTCGCAGTCATCCGTTTCGAGAGTATCATACACGAGTTCGATCCCTGGTAAGAATTAGAGACGTCTGAAACGGACTGGTGCTGCTCCATGCGGCGGTGGACGACCAAGCGACCGCAGTTAAACTGAGGAATAGGGAAGTAGGTTAATGGGAGAGCTGCGGGTGGCCCTTGAGAAGATGGGGGAAACCGAGATAAAATAAGAATTTTAAATACAAATGAGGAAAAATTATGGGAGTGCTTGGTGAGAGGTGGATGTGCTCTGCGGTGGTACAAATGGAAGGGGGGCTGGGGAGGGAGAGGTGGCATGTGAAAATATGAGCCGGAGTTGTTTTTGAGAGTGCCAGGTGGGATGGTGGAAAAGCCAACAATTGTTAGGTTGAGATAGGTATTAATTTTAGATTATCTTGTGACTCTGCCAAAACACCCGAGACAGTCTTGTCTAAGCTTACGACTTGAATGCGATCTGCTGTTGGATCAAGAGGCCCCAAATCATTTTCATTTCTTCATTGGGTAAAACTTGTGCAGCGTTGCTGTAATCCTCGCTGCGGCATAGAGGAGCGTGCGTTTGCGTTTCTGTATGAAGCAGACCGGAATAGAGCAAGAAAGCAGTAGTTAAAAAGCATTGGACGCTGAAGGAGCGGGATCTTTTGCAATGAACTATTGCGGGGTAAGCAGAGTAACCAGTGGGGGGAGAGGGCATACTGTGTACAAATAGACCCGGTTCACATATGAGATAGTTATTCCCTTGATAGCCAAATTTCTCCTGCAATTTAGTAATGAAGTCAGTAAAATTTCTTACGGAAGCAGTCGGACTTTTAACTTTATGCTTCACCTCCACCCATCCACCCCCATATTGTGAATTAGTAATAACATTGCAGTGAATAAAAAAAGAAAATGAGTAGGACTTTCATTTTAAGTAGATGCATAATTTATTGACACTTATTTTTATAATCACAAAAATGGTCCTTTGTAACTGAATTTAAAATTACAATTTCCATTTTATGAAGTATGATTTTTACATGCCTGTATGGCAGTTATAGAAAATATTACTTTGATACACAAAGATGGAAAGATTTTATCTTATCTGCAAGCGAAGAATGGTAGGTAAAAATGATGGAACTTGCTGACATAGCTAAATTAACTTCTATAATAAGAGAAAAGACAATATCTATTTTTATGGCTAACTGGAAACCCTATAGACTTTTATGTGAAACACAAAGAAATGAAAAATCTTTACTAAAGTTTGATTCATTATACATCAGATCTTGGCCAGAATAGAACACCAATTTGATGTAACTTCCTCCAGTAATTGTTATATATGGAGATATTATTCTGCATTATTTGCCCTAGACATTTTCTTGACACAGAACAGAATCTAATACTTGTGATGAGCTCCAAGCTTGTAGAATTATTTCTATCAATAAGTTTCTGTGTTTCTGATTTTATACTTTAATTACTGAATTGGAGATAGTTGCCCCATTTTCCCCATCTTCCCCCTATAATAGATTGCATCATCTATTTCATATCACATTTTTACCTGCCATATGGATTGTACGTTAGGGCAGGCTGAATTTGAAGTATTGAAAAGACTGCTGCATTATTGTACATACATGTAAAGATGCACTTTTAACTTATATTTTACAAAAACTAATATAGAGGAGTTAAATCCATTCTATTCTGCTGTGTTTTTTTTGTCAAAAATCCTTGAACTTTGTACTGAGTTGGGAATCAATGCTTGTATCTTTGCTCCTGGGACTATTCCAGTTAGATCAGTGGGGAAAATGGCTTGTAGAGAATATTTCTGAGAATAGGTGTAGTGTTAGAACAGTTGGCTCAGATGAGAAATCATTTATTTATTAAATAAATTAAAATTCTGTTCAAACAAATCATGTTGCAGCAAACTTAAACTTCCATTTTATCACTATACTATTAGCATAATAAAGTAGACAATTCTGTTCTTTGTTTAATTTGGCATTTGAATTGAAAAGCAGTTATCTTACATCATGAAGTTAAGCAGAGTTTCACTATTAAACAGATGTATAATTGCTTTATTAGTTTTCAGAAAATACTTTCTATAAATCTGTAATATTCAAGTAACCATGTCAAAGTAAACATGTCAAATAGTTCCCTTAGTACTGAGGATCACAGGTAGGAAAGATAGTACTGGATAAATTAAAAGATACAAATCATTCCACTAATTTATTTCTAAATGCTTTGATGCCTTTTTATCTTCTGCCAGCCTACTGCTTTGGTTGGTAGTATTAATGTTTGGGGGCTATTTCTCAACATACTAAAATAATTAGTTATGAAAATTGTATGTGGAAAAATTGATTTTTTAAAAAAAATGATCTTTAACAAAACATTAATACATTGCATTATTATGTAATCAAATATATTTGACATATTTACGGTAATAGGCAAGAACAGTTGGAAACAAGATGATACTAAGCGTAAGTTCAGAGATAAATAAATTATATTTCAAAGCAGGAACAGTTACAAAGAAGCTGCCTGCTTTTTGTCTTAACATTCTTCACATACAAGACAAATAATTATGTAAGTTCATCATATAAAATAAAAAAGGTATTTCAGAAATCATAAATAACAGTTTATAAAGCAGTTTACAGAGTCAGCATATTGCCCCCAACAAACTGGGTCCTTATTTTACCAACCTCAGAAGGATGGAAGGCTGAGTCAACCTTGAGCCTATCTGTGAGACTCAAACTGCTGAACAGCTGGCAATCAGCAGAATTAGTCTGCAATACTGCATTCTAACCACTGCTCTTATAATATCCTTTTTTACAACCCTGTAATCCCTTAATCCTGACCCTACATAGCATTTGGAGCAGATTTTTTTCTTTCACTCTAGGAGAGAAACATCTGCTGCTACCCACTCAATCTTCTGAATGGGAGGTGAGAGTCTTCACCATTAGGTCACCAAGCTGCATAATATATGCAATGCAATGCCAAATCCAATCTGACTATGCAATAAATCCTAATAATAATCTAGGAGGCATGCTAATCAGTTGGTATGACATGCCCACAATAAATTTGGTGTGATATAATGTGAAAGTATTTAAAACTAGGATGGCTACTTTTAATTTCACTGGGCAACTTTGAACAAGCTACACTCTTATTTTCAGCAATGGTTTGATAAATCATTGTTTATTGAAAGGACATTGATGGATTGACATAGCACCTTAAACTATAAATCATAGCTAACATAGAATGATAGCTAGATTAAGAGTTCACACACTAGTTGATTTGTAACATCGAGGAAAATGCAATGTAAACATTTAAAATTGATTCCAAAATGTTTCTGTATGTTAATTTTGTGTAAGTTATCCAGTACTGCAATCTTAATGTACAGAGGTTTTAAGATTTTAAAAAATATTTCTTTAACTACTTTTCTCTTTAATCGTTTTAGATTTAATTAAAGACTAATCCATGCAGCTTGCCAATGAAGACATTCTGTGAGTCATTTAAGAGTTGGTATGCCATATATTGCCAAGCTCTTGATTCATATGATTGGGTACATTCTTGGTTACCCTGTGTGAACTTTGATATTATATTCAAGACATTAATTGGAGTCATCTCATAATGCAGTCAGTAGACCAGTTTTTCTAAGGAAAACATAACTTTCATAGGTATTGGGGATGTTTACATCAGGGAGTTAAGTGTACACTTAACTATAGTTAATCATAACAGCTAAGGTATCTGTCAATGGTTTCTTTTCAGTATACCATTCAATCTTAAGTAGAGAGAGAACACTAAACCGTGGGAAGATCTAATTTCCTAATACAGGAAACCCGATATACTAGAGGTACTAAAAGAGCAACTCTTATTCATCCCATTGTCCGTATCTGAAAAAGCAATAGGTTGTTCAATATTGTTTCAACAGCTAAAGAATAGCATATTCATAAATATTTTGGTCTTACATCTTTTAAAGTGTTTTATATATTAACTGTAGGAAAAACAATCACAATGGAAAAATAATGGAACAATAATAAAATAATTAGCATTTAGGTTAGCAATTCATAATTCTTTTCAGGTTAAGGACTGACTGCTTCACTTGCTAAGGGCCACATTCAAAAAACAGATGGGCCAAAACATATCCAAAATTAGTTTAATTTCATTTATTTTTAATAACATTGATTTAGTATATTTAATTTCTTCTATATTTAACCATTTTTGCCAATTGTTAAATTAAAATGACAACTTGTTGAAAACTTCTGAATCTTTTTAGAACTTCAAGATTTTTGATGACAGCATTTGGCCTAACACGTCTGTGTATCCAATAAAAAGCAAAGTAGGAACCTACTCAGGATTAATTCTATCTGTTTCAATTTTGATATTAAATAATATGGTTTGTATTTAGAATAAAAATAGTGGCGTCCCCAACTGAGATACAGATTTTTTTTAAAAATCTGACCAAACTCAGTTTCTCCTAAGAACTAATATGTTTACCCACAGCTGCAATTTGGAGAAAACAATAATTGTAATTTATTTTAAAAATTCAAAGCATTCTACAGAATTGTAGTTTCATTATAGATCTCTCCTCCCCAGATAATACAAAATGAGAAGTTATGCCATTTATATCACAGTAATTCCATGTTTAATTATTTTGACTGAAAATGGATGAGTTTGTCTTAGTAATTTACATTGTAGAAATCAGTTTATACATATAGAATCTTTTTCAGTAACACTACTCTTGTACAAGGAGAGTATTAGGTAGCTTCTATTTTCAAAGTGAAAATGTTGAAAAGTTAATTATATTTTTATAATTAAGACTTGTTGTAGAAAATATAATAAACTTTCAACTATAAACTTCTCTTTTTGACCCCCCTCCCCAAAAAGCTGGATCTCTATCTACATATCTAATTTTGAATTTTGGCCTTACTCACTCTTTACATTTGCTATATTTTTGTGCCTATGATGGTTGCTCTGAATAATTTAGATCTTTTATTTATCCTTGAGTAAGTGTTTGTATTTAGAAATAGCATTATAACAATAGCACTTAGACTTACCGTATTTTTCGGAGTATAAGATGC